AAAAAAAAAAAAAAAAATTAAAAAAAAGAAAAAAAAAATAGGCCTCTGTTAGATTCATTTGATCTCAGTTGTAAACTCTGAAATCATCATTACATTTTGCTTCAACCCTACTTGATATGCATCATTGAAACAATAGTTACAGATTTTAAGATTAATTATGACTTCTGCCTTTGTACCGTTGCACTGGTGCTAGCTAAATTTGCATCAGTTGATTGTTAGATACATTGAAGGTAGGTTTTACATTTTAAAGGAAAAAGAACACAAATTTCATTCCCTAGAGAAATATATTCTGTAAATTAAATGATCCATGAGGTATTTTATGCATTTTTTCATGGAATGTTAACATTTTGAAGAGAATAAACAGGAATAATACTGAATAGCTCAGAAACTGGGATTAACACTGGGTATTACAAGCTATATTTTGCTCCTTTATCAATCAGGACCCAGAAGGAAATAGATGGCAAATAAAAATCAGCATAATTTGGGAAGTAGTTAATAAGGGATTATGTATAAAGGCAGGGCTTAGGGAAACCTGGAACCTAGAAGAAGGAAATTATATGGAGAGGACTACTTTGATCAGAGCTGAGATTACTCACATAGAAGGAGCTGGAGGAATAAATACCCTGACCTCACTTCCATTCTGCCAGAACTTTCTCTTGGCCACGCTCAACCAGAAACCAGGAAGCAAGAGAACCTATTGATATGGTCTATAAGGGTCAATCTCCAAAGAATGGAGCAGGGTAAATTGGAAAGACCGTGATCTGGAGGGGCAAATGGAAGAAATACATTAATAAATAACATCATTTCCCATTTGTCTGATTTCTATGTTCTGTTTTGGAGATCCCATGACTTTAAACATTGTTTTTTAGAACCCACCACCCTCTAAACTACAGCATTTGGTATAATATTTTTTTCTTCCCAAAGCTTATAATTGTGACACACAATTTTTAAAAAGTCAACTAAGGCTAAATCAAAGTTTTTTTTTTTTTTGAGATGGAATCTCCCTCTGTCGCCCAGGCTGGAGTGCAGTGGCATGATCTTGGCTCAATGCAACCTCCGCCTCCTGGGTTCAAGTGATTCTCCTGCGTCAGCCTCCTGAATATTTGGGATTACAGGCTCGTGCCACAATACCCAGCTAATTTTTATATTTTTAGTAGAGATGGGGTTTCACCACGTTGGTCAGGCTGGTCTTGAACTCCTGACCTTGTGATCTGTCTGCCTCGGCCTCCCAAAGTGCTGAGATTACAGACGTGAGCCATCATGCCCAGGCGGCTAAATCAATTTTTAAGATAATGTGTGTTTCTGCCAATGGGGATCACATTTTAGACAAGGGGAAGAGCCCACGTAAAGTTTAGACACATAAAAGCACTGTGGGAACAGTAGGTTCTTTGGAGTTACGGGGAGGCAGAAACAGTGAGAAGGCTGGCATGATTATGAAACACTCCATTTTCCATTCTAAAAGTTTAGGTTTTTAAGCAGGGGAGTGAGAGCAATAGCACTGGTTTGAAAGGTAAAATGTAAAAACTAGATAAAAACAATAAATCCACAGTGAATAAAGCTGAAGAAGCAAGTAGATTTTTACAAAATGGCTATTTGAGTGAATGATATCTCAGAGATAACCTTATTTACTGATGAAGAAGTTGAGGCCACTTTAGGAAAGACCAAAGAACCAGAAAAGGAGTGAAGGTCTTGCCAGTCACTGTGGAACAGTGCCAGCAGCAAACTCTGGCCTGTCTTCCCAACATATCACTCCCTTGACTATTCTTCCCATAGAAGACATTTTAAAAGTGCTGTTTAAACCTGTAAAAAAAAAATAATAACCCGGCCACACTGTCAGATAATTCAAAAAAGTTAGCTTGGAGTGTTGAAGAGGCAAATGGAAAGGGAAAGGTACAACTAGGTGCAGTTTGATGAAAGTAAAAGGTAGAACAAAAGACTGAATTTGCTATTTGGAAGGAAAGGTGCTGGTGACAGGAAACATCATCTTGCAGATAATTATTTCCAGAGGAGACAGATACCAGATGAGGAATTTGGAGCCCAGTAGTAATACTACTCCACCTTGAACAAGAGATTACATGGTAAATGATGGCTGAATGCAGGGTCACAAGTGTAACAGAATCTTAAAGGGAGAGAGGTCAGATTTGAAAGAAATTTTTTTTTTCTTTAAGTGGAGACGGCTGAAAGAAATTTTTTTTAATTAAAGTGGAAATGGCGGTACAACTGAAAAGGAGTAAGATTGTTAACACACATCTCCTCTCAATTTGTTCAGAGAATAACATATTCCTTTAAAGGTTTTTTGTTTTGTTTTGTTTTTTGCTTGGCCAAATTTAGTCAGGCTTCTGTATCTTCTGCTAGGCTCTTCTGTACACTTTTTTGGTAAAATCCAGTTTTAGCAAAAAAGTGTGCTAAGTCAGATTAGCAATAGACCCCTATCCTTGATAGCTGATCATCCTCAAAATCTGTTCAAGTTCCTCAGCCTCCACCACCCCCAGGTGGTGTCTGATTGATTATCTTGGCCTATCTTCAGCAAAAATCCTATTAGGTGGGTTTAGCCAGAATTCCCCTCACCCTGATGTTTCCTCTTAGTAATTTTCCATTCACTTAACACTTCTCCTTGGCTACAAATCTGCACTTGCCCATGCTGCACCGGGAGTTGAGCCCAATATCTCTTCCCCACTAGTAAGTCTCCACTGCAGTTAGTGGTCCCTATACTTACTGCGATGGTCCTTAATAAAGTCCGTGTGTGTGTGTGTGGTTTGAGACGGAGTTTCCCTCTTGTTACCCAGGTGTGTGTGTGTGTGTGGTTTGAGACGGAGTTTCCCTCTTGTTACTCAGGCTGGAGTGCAATGGCGCGATCTCAGCTCACCGCAACCTCCGCCTTCTGGGTTCAAGCAATTCTCCTGCCTCAGCCTCTCGATTAGCTGGGACTACAGGCGCGCCACCATGGCCAGCTGATTTTTGTATTTTCAGTAGGGACGGGGTTTCACCATGTTGACCAGGATGGTCTCGATCTTTTGACCTCGTGATCCACCCGCCTTGGCCTCCCAAAGTGCTGGGATTACAGGCGTGGGCCACCGCGCCCGGCCTCTTTTCGTGTTTTAACAAGTGTCACTAAATACTTTTTTCGTTAACAATAGCGCGTTCTCCAAACCCCTAAGTCCACAGTTGTTTAGTTTTCTGGAAACGAGTGGGCCCAGGGTCTATACCATGTTGAGATTTGTGGGTTTAACGCTGAATTTCTGCCCGTTTTTAGGTAAATTTTTTAGTGTGAAAGCTTGAACAATTGTTGGGAAAACCTTAGATTTGCCCCCAAAAATGACATTTTACCTTTTTTGGAGGGGAGGCGTCAGGGCGCTGTGTTTCAGATAAGGCGTGTAAAAGGCCCTAAACCAGCCTTCTGTCCTTTGGGAAGTCCCTACCACAGGGAAAAGCAGGTGTGAGCAGCGGTCCCCGCCCTCGCTGGAGACAGGGCGGGGCTGATTCCAGGGAGGGCCAGGCCTGCGCGCTGCGGACTCACGTGACGTTTTCGCCTCCCGGGACGCCGACGCATGCGCATCGTGCTCTGGACCTGGCGGCCGTGGCGCGGGTGGCGGCTGCTGTGGTGGCTGTGGGGACTGAGGCGGTGTAGTACCTTCTTCAGCTAGGGTTGTCCCAGGCTTCGGCTCATGGCATCGAGTGGCATCCTTCATAAGGTCTGCTGGGGCGGGCTCCTTGAAATTAGCTGGGGGCGGAGGGCGGTACTTGGGACAGAAAGGCGCCTGACGGGTTTCAGGCCGCGCTGGGGCCGCGGCCTCCCTCTCCCGCCGTGTTTGAGGCCTGGCTTGGACTCAGCGCCCAGCTGTCCCTTCCTTTCTCCTTCCCACCTGTTGGGTGGAGCGGTGCAAGGTATTTTTTTCTTAGACCACACGTTTCACTTGTGGGGTGCGTTAGGTAGGGTGGGGAAATGTTGGACCTCCTTCCCCTGGATTTAGGAAGAGATTTGGGTGAAATTCTAAAACCCTTGCTTCCCCGGAGCGGAACACAGTGAGGCTGGGATGGCCTGAAATGCAAGGAGCACATTCGCAGCCGCCAGAGGATTGGGAAGACAGAATATGCATTCTATTACTAAGGCATTTGAACGCCTTGTAGGGCGCGTTCTGCCGTCTGACTGCACGAGCAACACTTAAGCGACCCTAAGTCACAGCACCCTAAGCTTTTGGCAGGATAGGGTAGAACAGAAAAAACAGACATCAAATATCTTAGTAAGGTATTTTAAGGGAATTTGTTTAAGAATGTTCAACTTTGGTAATTAGAGACCAGCACTTGTATTTTTCTCACTCTAAAATCACATCTTTATGTTAATTAATACTTGAAGTTAATAAATAATTACTCTTCAGTGTATTATTGATGATGCCATAATACCATGTAAATTTATGCCGATTCAAATGTTATTTTTTCGTGTGATACTCATATGGCCTTCTGTTTGAGGACTTAAGATTATTTCTCTAGCAACTGATTTAATCTGTTCAGAAATAAAATTTGCTACAGCTGAGAAAGTGTGAGACTTAAGAAATAAGTTTCGGACAGGGAGGTATAGATTTCATGTTGGAACTTAAGTGTTTTTGGCTCTATGGGAGCTTAAATGGAGTGAAAAGAACAAGCGTCTACTGTCAAGTTTCCCTCCTCCCTCTAGATTTATAACCTCATTCTACAGTTGCAAAAGTTGGAACTTTCCACTGTTCACTCTCTAGCAGGGATAAAGTAATGGAAAGGAGTCCTGTTAAAGAAGACTAGTATTTAGATTGCCAACTCTGGTAGGGGTTGAACATAGATGTCTAAAAGTAGATGGTAGGAGACACTATTTGTTTAAAGTCTCAGAATATTTTTATTTGCTTATCTTATAATTGAATAAGAAAGATGATGTTTAAAAGTCAAATGATAAAAATTGTGTGTGCTGTTTTCTGTGGTATGTTTTAACAAATCTCCATGGAAGATAGGGCTTTTTAAAAAAATTGAAAGTAGCCAAGGGAGGAAGAAAGTAGTATAGTTCCAGCCAAATGGTAAGTTTTCCAAAGATCCGAAGATGAGGTAGACATTTATGTAAATACGTATGCAAAGTCTAGTTTCTAGAACACAGTGCTTAATATGTGGAGACTTTAAAAATTCAGCCTGTGACTATTTAGTCTACTTTGCCCCTAAAAACAGCCACCAAAACCGTTGGTTATGATAGCCACTTTTCTTCTTACATCCCAAATCTGTAGTCTGCCTTATTTGTGAATGAGACACAAAGTGATTTGTGTATTGCAAAGCTACTTGGTTTGCTGTACCCAAAATTCCTTTCGGTCTTTAGTGATGACTTCAGATTTTTATATATTGCTCTCTTTGTGAAAAAGAATAGTCAGTAGTATAATTTTTAAGTACCTCTAGAGGAATAAGGGATATACAGATAATAAAAAAAAAAATAAGGTATTAGGTCAAATGTCCCATTTTTAATTAAGTGTTGGTAATTGAAGTCATCCTCCAAAAGACCTTTTAAATTTTAAGATGGCATAATTGCCACTGAAATGTTTACTATACTAAATGTGAAAGGTATGGTAAATGTATTTTTTATATACTGCATAATCACTTTATGTTTCCTTTTATACTCGTGTACTTTGTGTCTATCATACTATTTTATAATAAAGTGTAATGTAGTGAAAAGGAATCAACTGGTTTGGTGAGTTGAAAAAAGGAGGACTTTTGTTAGTCTAGGGGAACAGCTTGTGTCAAAGCTCAGAAAGGAAGACTCTGAGGGGTTCTGGAAATGGCAATGAGGAGGAGTATTGTAAGATTTTGGAAAGTTAAGTTGGGACTGGATATATCATTCAGAGATGTTATGCTGTTACATAGCAAGTATTATTTTAGATTCTGGGGGACAGCGGTGAACAAAACTGATAAGGCCTCTTTCTCAGTGAATTTATTTATTTTCCTTTTACTCCTGTTGAGCTGTCATCAGGAAATTTAATTTTCAAGTAATATTTATCTGTAGCAGTAGTGCAGCAGTGTTTCTCAAAATTTTTTACTGCAGTCCACAATAAGATGTTCATGGACATCACTAACTCAGTAAACAGTTAAATTGTGTGTGCTCCAACAATATACCCTTAATGTGTGCATGCACTCTGGTATATATATATTTTTCTGTATTTAAAAAAATGAGGGGCCGGGTGTGGTGGCTCACGCCTATAATTCCAGCGCTTTGGGAGGCTGAGGCGGGTGGATCACAAGGTCAAGAGATCGAGACCATCCTTGTCAACATGGTGAAACCCCGTCTCTACTGAAAATACAAAAATTAGCTGGGCATGGTGGCGCACACCTGTAGTCCTAGCTACTCGGGAGGCTGAGGCAGGAGAATTGCTTGAACCCAGGAGGTAGAGATTGTGGTGAGCTGAGATTGCGCCATTGCACTCTAGCCTGGGTAACAAGAGCGAAACTCTGTCTCAAAAAAAAAAAAAGAAATGAGGACCGGGCACGGTGGCTCATGCCTGTAATCCCAGCACTTTGGGAGGCCGAGGCGGGGCGGATCACTAGGTCAAGAGATAGAGACCATCCTGGCCAACATGGTGAAACCCCATCTCTACTAAAAATACAAAAATTTGCTGGGTGTGGTAGTGCGCACCTATATAGTCCCAGCTACTCTGGAGGCTGAGGCAGGAGAATTGCTTGAACCCAGGAGGCAGAGGTTGCAGTGAGTCTAGATTGTGCCACTGCACTCCAGCCTGGTGACAGAGCAAGATTCCGTCTCAAAAAAAATAAGAGAAGCTGGTTTGAAGCAATCCACAGTTTGAAAAACATTGATCAACAGGAGAGAAAATAATTACTTAAATACAACATTAGTAGTGTGAATGGAAAGAAGGGGATGGTTAATTTTTTAAGGTGTATTATCTTGCCCTGTTTCCCAGGTTGAAGTGCACTGACATGGTCCGCTCACTACAGCCTCTACCTCCCTGGGCTTAAATAATCCTGCCTCAGCTTCTCAAGTTGCTGGGACCACAGGCATGTGCCACCATACCCAGATAGTTTTTAAATTTTTTTGTGGAGACGGAGTTTCCCTCTGATGCCCAGGTTGATCTTGAGCGCATGAACTCAAGCACTCCTCTCACCTCGACTTCCCAGAGTGCTAGGTGGTGATTACATGTGTGAGCCACTGCATGCATGGCCCAGAGTGTATTATTATTTTTGATTGACAGATCATAATTGTATACATTTTGGGATAGGGGATCATTCATTTTTATAACAAGATATGTTTGATTATTTTGTGAATGAGGCTTAGAGAGGTTATGTAATTGGCTCACAGTTCCCTAATGTGTAGCCAGAAGTCTGTTCTTTGGCCTCTAAAGCCCAAACACTTACCACTTTCCATTTGGCTATGAAAGCAGTATACTGGGTTTTAGTATGGGTGACTGAAGACGTTATTTGTTTAGTGTTCAATGAATTGAGTGTATACTAGGCCTCTAGGTGTACTATATCCCTATTTATGGGTAGATCTTGTCCTTACTCTCAAGAAACATGTAATCTAGTAGAGAAGATACACATTGAACAAGTATCACAAATGTGTTATGTGCTATGGAGAAAAAGAATGCTGTGGGGGCATGATTGGGGGCAACCTACCTTATTTGGGGATATGAGGACAGTTTTCAGGAAGTGATGTTAAACTTGGCCCTCTGTGATGATGGCATTTCTTACGACAATTTTGGATTAATTATGAAAACAACTACTCTCTGAGCAATTGTTGAAAAAAAATTAAAAAGTAAACTTTGCCCCGAAGATTAGGCTTTAGTTAGTTTGAAGGCACTGAGTCAGAGTGTGGGGTGGGGTAAAGGGATAAGAAAGCATCCAGGTAGAAAAAACCGTGTTTACTAAGGCTCTGAAGCTGAAAGGAGTGGAATTGGAAAAAAACAAAATAAAACTCAACAGAAATAGAATCTCTGGGCTGTACAAGTTAATAGAGAAGAGGCAAGAGTTTTGGTGTTAGGATGAGGTTGAATTTTGGCTCTATTTCTTACTATTAGTACAAATTTAGACAAGTTATCTAACCTTAATGAATTTTGGTTTTGTCATCCTTAAAAGGGAAGGTAGCATTTAACAAAATATTTGCTCAATAAATATCTCTTATTGTCATTAATAGCTAGTAATTGAAGTTAGAGCAGTGCAGATTATATTCTTCATTCTTTCTTAAGTAATGAGTGTCTTTGTGTGCCAGGCAACTCAGTATACAATAGCTGAATTACATGTGTATGTGTATTATTACATTAAACTATCATAAAACAATATACTTTTACTATGCAAAGTGCTGTGCTAAATTTTTTTCTGTTTTCCATTTGAAGAAGAGAAAAGAAACTGGTCTGAAGTAATCTGCAGTTTAAAAATTACTGATACAGTGGAGAGAAGATGATTACTTAGCCCCTTATTAGAGATATGATATGCAAATATTTTCTCCCATTCTGTAGGTTGCCTTTTCACTCTGCGGTTGTGTCCTCTGATGCACAAAAACTTTTAATTTTGACATAGTCCTATTTGTCTATTTTTGGTTTTGTTTGCCTGTGCTTTTGGCATTATCCAAGAATTCATTGCCAAACCCAGTATCATTAAGCTTTCCCCTATGTTTTCTTCTAGGAGTTTTATAGTTTTAGGTTTTACATTTAGGTCCCTACTCCATCTTAATTTTTACGTGTAG